GGAGCAAAAAAGGAAGCACTCCTGACCGGTCACACCCTCTACAAATAACAATCTGCACACGCCATCTCCGGACCGAGCTGTCTGGCTGGAGGGAAAACAAACAGACAGAAAATGGGACAGAGTTGGGAAAATCAGGCCTGCTAATGTCTGGCTGCTCTCAGGTCTTTTAGTCTGGCTGCCAGAGCTACTGTACACACACACACACACACACACACACACACACACACACACACACACACACACACACACACACACACACACACACACACACACACACACACACACAGAGGCAGCACCGCAGATTATCTAATAGAAGAGGTATGGCTTTGAAAACACTGCTAACCAGAACCGCCTCGACCTCCAGGGGAATAAGCACACTTCTGTACCTGAAATTACAGCCTTTAAAACAGACGCTGCTCCGCTTTTAAGGTAAAAAGACTTACGTGCTTAAGTTTGAGGCAGAAATACAGGTACAAAAATACTGTCACAGCTTCTTAAACATGAAGACGTCACATTAACTGTGTTAAATATTTACTTTAGGGCAAAGTAATGATTCCAAACTAGATTTTTTTACATTAATAAGTTTGGAAAAGTAATGGTTTATGAAAAGAAAGTGATATTTTTAGGCCAAAGTAAAAGTCTTGTTCTGCACTAGCCATTTCTCATTATTAGGAAAATAGACCAAAATTCATGGTGATGATTTTTTAAGGTCATCAGCGTCAGATTTAACATTTTCATACTTTTAGTGCCTCATTCTGGTGCGAGGGGGTCAGCAGAGAAGCTAAAGTAACAGCCCTGGTATTTATTATTTCTTATTTTTAGTGACATTCGTAAATTAAATCTGAGGACGGTGAATCTGAGGCTGTTCTTCAGTCTGGGTTACAGTCGATTTTCCTGATTGATTTACAGCAAATCTACAGGAGCAACAAAACAAACAAAAACAGAGAGCTTACCGTCAAAATAATTTGGAATTCAACCTCTTATAACTGATGTGTATAATAGCCTATTGTTACTTTAAGGTAGAAAACATCACAATTACCTCTGTGTGAATGACACAAATAAGCTTTGACCAAAGAAAGGAAATCATGCAGCCCCGGAGAAAACAGCAAGAAAACACCTCCAACCTTAATCTTTAAAACCTGCTAAATAACTTTACTAATCTAGTCTAGACTAGCTGTCAAAAATGCAGAGACTGGCTTGAATATACAGGATATCTTCCACAACAGTGTGTCATGCAAACAGCTGCAGTGTTGAACCTGTCGAAACTAGAAGGTGAAATTATGAAAACTGATGCTCATTTTAGATTTTTTACCTGTTAACTGTTTCGAAGAAGTCAGAACAGGAACAAGAAAACACTGAAAAAGTTGTGAAATGCTTAAAAACAACACCTGGAGGACTATCATCAAACTAATTTGGTTAATTTCCGAACAATGACTGGGTCAAAAAAACAGGAGAGTACTCCAGAGAGGCTGGGTCTTCCAGAAGTAAAGATAGGAAGAAAATGACCGCTCTGTGAGAGACTGCGTGAGCAAACAGTTCAACAATTTCAGAGTAATCTCCGCAAAAAAAGAGGGACTAGACACACCGTAACACCGAGTTAGACACCCCCTAGAGATTAATGTTGCCGACCGCTTGCTTCTCTTTCATACTAACTTTAGTGACGACCACAGCGGTCTGAGGAGCCATAAACAAACCTCAACCAAAACGCCACTCTATAGCCACAAATAATGCTCAGAACAGCACCTAACTTCATCAACAGGACATATAGGGTCACAGTCATAGTACTAGACACCAAACATCTTTTTAACTTTGACTTATTTCTTTGGTAAAGACACTAAACACAACTCACCTACTCTCTTCCAGCAGCCGCTTGTTTGTAGCGAGACCTCGGGCCAGTCCATTACAGACTACAGCGGGGTGCCGCAGCTCAAGGAAGAACATTTATGATAATTTCTTCATGAAAATACTTCATGGATTATTACTTCAAGGAAATGATGAAGAAATTATCATAAATGTTCTTCCTTGAGCTGCGGCACCCCGCTGTAGTCTGTAATGGACTGGCGCGAGGTCTCGCTACAAACAAGCGGCTGCTGGAAGAGAGTAGGTGAGTTGTGTCTAGTACTATGGCTGGGACCCTATATGTCCTGTTGATGAAGTTAGGTGCTGTTCTGAGCATTATTTGTGACTATAGAGTGGCGTTTTGGTTGCGCGAGTGGCTCTCTGTATTGCTATCGTGCCGTTGTCACTAAAGTTGGTATAACTAGAGAAGCAAGCGGCCGTCAACATTCATCTCTCGACGGGGTGTTACGGTGTGTTTGACCCTAAATTAATTTTACACCGGAATATCCCTTTAAGGATCTCAGATAGGACTGTGTTGAAACAGACATGACTCTGTAGTGGAAATCAACGCATGAGCTCAAAATCATTCATCGTCTTTGGACACAGAATGCAGGTCAGAGCTGTAGGGTGAGGAAGGTCTTGGATGCATACTTCATAAAATAAGAGCATTTTCTTTACTCTTTAATTGTCATATTTTATAAATGTTGTTGTTTTTCAAGAGTTTTGTTCCCAATCTAAGAGGAAAGTAAACTCTCATAAGGAGCTATTTCAGTATTCTCTGTCGAGTTCTGCTGAGACACCCACTGGAGGAGAAAAAACTGTCTGGAGGCTGACATCAGGGATCAGTTTTCACTTTCTTTGGGCTGCAGATGGCAGACTGAGGAGAGGAGATGAAACTGATTCCAAGCCACAGCCCATCTGAAACGTAACATTAACCCACACTGCTGCTGCTGCTGCTGCTGCTGCTGCTGCCTCCATTCACAAACCACCCTGACATCATGTTTGACACGGAGCCACTGACAACACAGCTGATACACACCGTGGAGTGCATTAATACCATGGTTGCGTGGTGGAGTTTGGGTGGAGTCACGGTGCATTTTTTCGGGGACAGGGAATTACCGGTTTGATTCACGGAAAGCATCAAATGAATGTAACCCGGTCAGTCCTACAACTTTGGATACAGACGGATGATTGTTGCAAAAGTGAAACAGCAAAACTTCGAGACATCACTTCAAAGTCAAAGAAGAACGATAGGAGAGGGGGGAAAACACACCTGTGCAGGCCAGGTAGCACCTGTTGAGGAGCTAAAAGTCACACTTCCTGCAAAAATACACACCTGAGGAGTCACACCTGTTCTTAATTCAGCTCTCCCAAAAGGTGAATATCCGCTTACCTGAGTTTAAGGTTAGCCATGAACTCCTCCATCGACACATTATCCAAGAGGACAAAATCTGCTTTCCCATACTCCAAGCTCTCGTGCTCAGCCATGCCGCTACCTTTCTCTTCACCGTGGCGCGTGGAAGTACACTTTTCTTTTTAACAACTGACTTCAAAGTGCCGACAGTAGGTGAGCATTGGCGCGTTTTTCTGAACACCTTCCTGTCTTTAGAGGACAAATGTGAAGTCGAGACGCATTTCTACTCGTTAAACTTCAGTTTCTGTCATGTTTAATTAAGATTAAACTCTTTGAAACTGTAAAAAAGTGCAATTAGATGATGTCAGACGCGGTTAATCCGGTTTAAAAGTCCAGTTTGTCTTCAAAAAAGAGCGAATAATCCCAGAATATCCTCGTTTCCATACAAAGTTTCCCTCTTTTTCGCCGGATTGTATCCCCTCGTCCCGTTACACCGTGCAGGAGCTCCAAACGTTTTCCTGGAGTTTCTCTCCTGTCGTCCCGGCCGACCGGTAGCCAATGAGAAGTCAGCCGCCTCTGTAAAAGCCACGCCCCCTTGTGCTCCTGTAACGCCCCGCCCCGCCTCCTCTGCAGAGGTGTTGGTCAGAGACAGACAGACCACAGCAGCTCCTCCACTCTCTCTCTCTCTCTCTCTCTCTCTCTCTCTCTCTCTCTCACAGACATATTTTAGAGATGACGGGGCCACCTCTCAGTTTTTAAACACTCAGAGAAAAAAATAAAAAAGACTTTTTTATGATGCCCTCTGTTACCATAAAAGGAAAAATGAAGGCTCATCAGAAACTCTCAGAGGGAAATTAATGAAAACTACTCAGTTATTGTTACACATCAGTCAGTGATCCCTCTGCTCACTTTGAGCTCTTATTATCTGATCTATCAGGAGGATAATATCTCCATTTAAAAGCCCACAATGATGCTAAATGAAGGGCAGAACTACTGTCACTTATTCACTGAGTTTATATCAATGTTAGAGCGCCATCTAGTGATAGACAGCCGTGAGTGCATGTCTTTAGTGCTGAATTTTACTTAAATAAATTCAAGTTTCTTCTTACAGCATTAAACCAATTAATGACTTTTTAACCCTAGAACATTATCCATAAAATTAGTAAGACCTTCACTATCACTGGGTGATTTTTACCTGAAATAATATACCCAAGAAAAAGTACTTCATCAAAATATATCAAAATAGGACGATAAAAAAAAAATTAAATTAGTTTTCTAACATCTGCAGGAGAGAAAACCAAAATATGGCAGATTTTGGGTGAGTAAAAATGACCAGCTGACTAAAACATTTATCACCACCAAATGAATTCCCTTGAAAATCACTACTTTGACCTTTGTGAGTAATAAAAATGGCAAAAAGTTCTCAAGTTGTTTTTCTCATAAATAAAGATAAACAGATATAGATATCTAAATAAAGATAGCATGTAAATTCCAGGACCACTCCTACTGACCTTATTCACCTACATGAAGCTATCAAATCCACCCAAACCTACTTTACCCTTTATCACTCTTGCCAGGTGACAATCACCCTGTGAACAGGTGCCTGTATGAAAAGCAGGTTTTAGATCAGGGAAACAAAAATGTCTTCAAAGATGTCAAAGACAATGCTGAAGCTACCCAGAGACTCATGATACTCAGATAAACGCAACATCATGAAAACAACGTAAACATGTCTGGTTGGGTGAAAATCAGCCGGCATTAGTGTTCTAGGGTTAAATTGCAACAGACCATCACAGATACAGAAACGTAAATGTAAAGTTGTTTATTGAATATAGATGTGTAAAAAAAAAAAAAAGTCCAGTCTTTGCTGATTTTGCAGATAACTTTCACTCATGGAGACTCTTTGCTGTAGAAACAGGATAAAAAAATGTCAGCGAAATAAAAAATTACCATAAAGAGAGTTTAACTCTGTCCTGATACAAACTCCAAATGTTTCTCTCAACACTTCAAATTTACACAATTAAAAACTTTGTCAAATGTTATGGCAGACATCATTTATATTGTGCGAGCAGCGAGCCTCCAAACGTGATGGTCGTGGAGGCCGAATTCGCCCAGGACCGCCCGCAGTTATGGGTGACGTAGACCAGAGCCCCCTTGCGGAGGAAGGTCATGTACGTGGACAGGCTGCCGACAGACGAAGGACGGGAGACGTGAGTGTGAGAGACGGCCACCCAGTAGTTGTTGATGACCAACCACAGGTCAGTCTTCTGCCCCGTGTTGGCCGTCTGGGTGGAGAAGAAGAACTGATAGATCCCTTTAACCGGAGCTCTGAACTTCCCGGACCTCCTGCTGAAACCTCGACCCACGTTCACCAGAACCTTACTGTACTTGATCTGGTTCACCTTTCCTTTGATCTGACCGGGGAAAGAGGCGAAGAAGATGACCTTTCTGGAACGAGCTAGAAAAAAGGACAGGTTATTTATTATGAGTGTTTGTGAAAGCAAATATTTTAATTTTGGAGGAGCTTTTCAAATTTATACATGACAACAACATTTTAAACATGTTATGTCTTATTGAACTCAGTCAGACTTTGATTAGGAAGACTCTGAAGGTTTAAAGAAGCTGATTAAACCCACAAGACAAAGGCTTTACCTCTCATGAGCAGAAAAGAAAAGAAAACTAACACCCTCTCTTACCTGTAATTTTTGAAAACAGAGTTAAGAAAAGAGGAAAACGATAACTTACTTCTCTTGGTCTTACACCTCCAGTTGATCTTGTCTCGGCTCTCACAGGACTGGTTCCTCCTGCAGCGTCCACAAACAAGAGTGTTGATATCTGAAAATAGACCAAAAAAAAGCATCGTAAATTCATCATAACCTCATAGATATTTAGATTTTTATTTTTTTAAAGGATGTTTATTTCAAGCCCAGAAATAACTATATTAAATATTAATTTAGAAGTGTTGTTAAAATTATCATAAATGCAGACACAGTGAGACCTTACACTCTGTCACGAATCTGGATGTTTGATTCTTGACAAAAAATTCTCAAGTTGTTTTCATTCTTGTTGAATTTTAGATGATAAAAATTGTAAACATGACCTTGAAGAGTAATAAAGTTTGTTTATGAGTACAAAACAACTTCCATGTGTCTGAATCTGTCTCGACTTTAACGTCAGAAAAATTACACGTCAATTCTGTTACAAGAGTAATCTTTATGATTCACAGACCCTTTCCTTTATCTGTCGTTAAATTATCTAATCTCAACCAGTTAAAAAGAAGCTCTTAAAAACCACAGTGTGTTGGTTAAAGCAGTGGTTCTCAACTGGTGGGTCCTGACCCAAAAGTGGGTCGCAGACACGTTCTGGATGGGCCACAAACAGCTGGTCAAAAACATTACGATTTAATGCACATTTGATGTTTGACATGTCTTTTATTTTGAAAGGCACGCATCATGTCGTGGTCCTCCTTGGTTTCTTATTAATGAGTCCTGAATGCAGTAAAATTACATGTTTTTTTATGGTCTTTATCTTGTGCAATTTGATATTTATTCACTTTTGTCCTTCTCAGGTTTTTCTGAATATGCTCTGAATTTGAGATGCAAAATTTTTCATTTTCCTGGTCTCCCTTTTGTGCAATTTGATATTTTTGTATATGCAACTTTAGGAGTTTAATAGGTGCATTTATGTCAAAGATTTGAGTCTTTAAAGGTTTTTTATAAGAAATAAATTTGCTTGGTTTTAATTTTATAAAAGTGGGTCACGACTTAAGGATCATGGGAAAATGTGGGTCCCAGAGTGAGACCAGTTGAGAACCACTGGGTTAAAAGCTCGACCAGAATATGCCTGACTGCGATCCTCCTGGTTCAGTACCTGCGCAGTAGGCCAGGTAGCAGGTGGACGGCTGGGTGAACTTGTAGACGAAGTAGTTTCCTCGACACTTCTTCACCTTGATGGGCGTGGACTGAAAGGCGCAGCACTTCTTCTTCCAGTGTCCGCACACTCTGCGGGTGACGATGCCGTCCCTCAACTTGGGGTGAGGCCCCGCCAGCCACAGGGGGGAGTGGGTGCCACATTTGTCCACAGGGACGCACCTCTCGGGCATCTGAATGCTCCTCCCCCTGTAGAAGAGGCGGTACCAGCCTTCGAAACGACAACAGGAATAAATAATCAGATTTAACCATCATGAACGTGAACACTCAGGAATCTTTCTACCTTTCCACCGGACGTTGCGGTCACACATCTTGCTCTTGGTGGTGGTGTTGGTGGCCCTCCAGGCCTGATCCAGGACTGTGTAGTGGAAGCAAGGGTCGCCTCGTCTCCTGGAGTCTTCCTCGGAGAAATACAGATCATCATCATCCTCCCCCTCATTATCAGGTGGACCATAAGTCAAGACGTGGGTTCCTGCATGAGGAGAGAAAACCCACCAGAAGTTCAGATCCGACAGACTGAAAATTAACCAGATTTAGGTCTACAGCTGCAGCACGGACAGATGTTTAATATCTACAAGTCTAATATGAAAATTAAAATCAGACTCTTTGATAAACAAGAACAATAATAATAATAATAATAATAATGAAAATCCTAATGTGCTGTAAACAGTATAGAGGCAAAATTAAAATGAAAAAATGAATGATTAACCCATAAAACAATCTCAATCTCAAACACTTCTGATTTAAGGTCAGATGATGACCTTATATCACTGTTTGGTGAAAATTATATAGACATAAGTTTAATTCACTGATAAATTAAAAAGAAAATAACACAAAAAGGTCAAAAATAATCCTCAAATAGAATTAATCCAAATAGAAATATCTCTAAAAAACAGTAAAAATCACATTTTTAAATCATGTTGTGAATCTAAAGTGTGTTATTTCTGAACTCAATATTTACTGATATGAGGAGATTTATTTCTAACATGAACGAACGACAAAAGGACAACCTGAAGGTCAAAAATCCAAGGGGAACCTGAAGGTAATTGAGGTTATTAATCTGGATTCTTACTGATCACCTGGCTGTGTTAAATACTTGACTCTGATTGGTCGAAGCCCCATAGCAACAGTCACTACCTCTAATAAGAAAGAGCAACACCAGGGCCGCCAAGATCACATGTGTGTCACACAAAATCAATTACTGCCTGTTGACACAAAAACTATTTCCTTGAATAATTTAAGTAAATATAAATACTGTGGATTTTTCTTTGGTTCGTATTTTTTATCAGAAAGCTGAAAAAAGGGTCTGTATTTTTGGTATTTCCTTTAGAGAGGAGGTGATCTGTTCATTTCAATGCCATAAAACATGTCTATAAGAGGCTTTCCAGCTTTCCAGAAGCCTCATCCGCTGTTGCCACGCTACAAAGTCATTATAAGTGCAACAGAGTTTTTCTTTTTAAAAAGACAAAGTATGAAATAAATCTGACCTGAGAGGTTTGGAAATTGAACGACAAAACTACTCCCAGCGATAAAACACAGAGCGAGACGTTTCTGTTAAATGTGTTCAATTTATTTTGCTCTTTGGAGGAGATTCACCGAACAGTCAAGTCATAATTAGACTTAATCTCACCTCCTAATTTTCCTGTCATTTTTGAAACGAGCTTTCAGAGCAGTCTCATCCAAAACCTGTTTACCTCACAGTGTGAAACTCTGGCTGTGTTCATAATTGAAATCCAACATTTTTACTGAATATTTGTTTGTAAAATATGAAAAAGAAACACTTTTCATGAATTTGAGGGTTTTGAAACGAGTGCAGAAACTGGCGAGTTACTATGTTGGGGTCTTCGCTCACTCTGGATCACCTCTCTCCTTATTTTGTGGTTGTAAACTGCTCTGTTTTACAAATGTGTGTAATGTTTATATAAATTTATATACTGACCCACTTCCTGCTGCCCTCCGCTCTGCCCCTTCCTCATGTGCATCTGTAAATGAATGAAAGGACATGTTCAGCTGGCGACATACGGCGTGCAGACAGACGACGGTGAGACGAGGTGGAGGTTACCTGAGTCAGAGCGCTCTGCTGCTGCTGCTGCTGCTGAAGTGTTGTTTGTTCACACCTCAGACTCTCCATCTCCTGTCACGGAGAGACTCAAGTGTTGGAAACTCATTTCAGATCAGCAAAAATCTGCAGATTCATCACACCTCAGGATTTACATACAAATGACCGATTCAGATTCAGGCGCTGCAGCTCGTGTCAAAGACGGAGCAGACGGAGGTGAGGTTCGAGTGGAAAGTTTGGGAAAAAGACAACTGAATATCTGACCTTTTCTCTGGTGTTTTGACCAAAAATAAAGAAAGATTTCAGCAAACAACCAAAAACGAGGAAGAGGAATCAAGAAAAACATGGAAATGGTGTTGTTTGCACCACTTTTTTGCTGCAATATTTCCAAAATTTCTGGCTGCATCCCTGGATGGAGGTGTTGTGAGTGTGAACGAGCTTGTGCAGAGGATTTTTCACATCGTTCATGACTCAAGATTGCCTGTTCGTGTTACATGGCGGCTGCAGTTCATATCATCTGTCACAGTTAGTCATCTAATGTGCGTTTGCTGCATAAAATATTCAAAAATACAGAAAAAATGAGAAAAATACACTTGTGATGTCCCCAAACTCCTTTTCCTCTGCCTGATAAATTAGTTTTAATTTTAAAAAATCATATTTTTAGACAGAAAAGATGAACAAAAGTATTTTAAAACTCCCTAAGAATGATTTTTATGACTTATTTGTCTCATCAGAGCTCATTTAAAGTTGATGATCTCACCTTAAACACAGCAGCCAGTTGCACAGCCACAGATTGATTCTCCACGCTCCACATTTTCAGCTCGGCCTGCACAAACAAACCTCACATCAACCCCCTGTTCGAGTTTTTCAGCACGTCTGAGTGAATAATCAGTATCAGAGTTTGGAAATGTTCTATTCTCTTTATGCGTTCACTGCGACAGAAGCTCCGCACACTTCTGTCCGTGCCAAACAACATCTGGGAAAACTGAAACTCCAGCTGCATAATGAATGAATGAATGAATTTTTAGTTCCATCTGCCCGCCGGCTCAGAAGCATCAGCGAACGCCGCTCAGACTCACCGAGGTTTTGTTCCCCGAGCAGCCGAGCGAGCAGGATGACAAGGTTACAAACACGGCCAGAGCGAAGACGACCATCTGCAGAGCACCACAGTGACACAGCGGTTATGTAAAAGAGGATTTTTCACTCGCTTAATGAATGATAATGACGTAATTATCTGACAGTTCATTTGCAAAATGTCAAAAACATTTACTGAGCGTGAGAGTAGGGTTAAGATATTCCACTGCTGTGAAAATCAAGGGTTTATTTCATGATTTAAAATGTCATATAAAACAGAGTCACTTTAAAGCTCCTGTTAGAAACTTTTGCTTGAAGTTGGATTTTTTCGTCTGTGGACAAATCAGGACAAATATCACATCCTGCTTCAGGTTTAAAACTACTGTGACTCCTACCCCCCGAATATAGCTTTTGATATTACAAATAACTGAATGGAAATAATCAATATTGTCAGTGACGATCTTATAATTATATCCAAGACTAACAATATGCCAGCCCAAGCGTCAGAGTATTTTTCTGTTTTCATTCTGATCATTATTTTAAGACCAACTTAACCACTAATTTAGTTTCTGGGCCTGGATTTTAACTTAGTTTTAGTTATAACTGGTTTTAAATGAGTTTAAATCTACTTTGTGAACTTTAAATGGGTCTGAGTTTCATCTGTTATTGAATTTTAACTTATTTCTGTTGAATGATTGTTTTAGCAGATGTATTAATGTCCTGATGTTGTCGGTTCTGTTGACTGTTTTATTTATTTTGTTGTCTTCGAGTTGTTTTTATTTTATTTTCAAGCTGTAAAACCCTTTTACTCTGATGGGAAAGTACTTTATGATACAGGGTATTATTATCATTTTTTTATTTTTATAATTATCATCATCATGGCGTCCAGCTAAAAATCTCAAAATTAAAGCCATTAGACAATTACCTTTTTTTTTTTTACATTCCAATTAGCTTGTGAATTTGAGAAGAAAATCATGATTAACTTCAATTTTTAAACTCATTTGTAAAATTCCATTATTTTGCTCCTTAAAACAGGTTTTAATTTGAAAGTCTTCATTTTGAAAATGTGTAATGAAATATAAAACAGCAGGAAGATACAATAGGGCTGAACTACAGCGAGCCAAAAAGGATAAAACAGCAACTTGTGCAAAACATTTCTATTATTATCTTTGTCTTAACCGCATCATGATAAACAAGACAACTCTATTCAATCACGCTACTTAACTAATACTGATTGATTTTTTGAAAGGTATGGTATTAGAAATGGATTAATCAATGATAATGAAAGTTAATGAAAACCAGGTGCAACCTAGAAACATTTAAAATCATGTTCGTGTTATATACCTGCTTTTATTTATTTAATCTTAATGTTTTTTCTGCAGTGTAGTTCGTTTAATTTTATTGTGCAGCACTTAGGTAAACTTAAATGTTTTTTAAAATGTGCGATATAAATAAAGCGGATTGGGTTGGATTAGATATATACCTTTAAAAATGCTGCTTTTGTTGTCAACATCGAGGAAAGTTGAGTTTGTTTATCTGAACTTTCTCCAGTGTTTTGTGTAAATTTTCATCCCTTAATTGAACCCTCCTCATTATTTCCTGACAGTCCAATTTAAATAATATTTCATGTTTGGGTAGAGCAACATAATCAAAAAGATTATTAATTCTGAATACTTAATTGTGAAAATCTTACATTTTAAATATATTTATTCTGCTGTAGGAGGTTAATTCAAGCAGCAGTATCAGTGATATCAAAAAAGTGAAGTGAATATGAACCTACCTTAACTTATTTAACAGGCAGCCGCTCCAACAAAGACATGGGTAAAAAGGTCAAAGGTCTGAAGCAGCGCCAGAGCTGAAAGACGAAACAATTGTAAGTTAAGTGGTGAAACACTGAAGATCATGTTCAATGTTATTAGAAAGGCCTTTAGATACAGGAACTTTACGATTGTGTTTTTAGAAAGCAGCTCTTACCTCTTCATATCAGCATGACGATGAGAAAAAGCGACCGCTCTCTCGTTCTCACTCTTTATACTCATCAGACTCAGAGAAGTAGAAACAAAGAGGAAACTACGGGCTTCAGTTTGACAGCATCAGTAAAGGTGTCACTTCTCACTGATGAGTTGCAAACGCAGACGTGAAATTAGCGCGGCGTCGGCAGTTTTTGAGTCTGAACGGTCAGCAGAAACTGTGAAATGTTGGTTTTCTGTGAGTGAGTGGAGCGTCCACAGAGGGAGGATGTGTGAAAACAGATGCTGAAACAAGCATCCAGGACAGACCTGACCAACAGTTATGAGGAGATTAAACTTTAAAAGAAGTTCAGAATCAGTCATGGAGGGGCTTCCTTTTAAATATGTGTCTTTAAAATTGATATGTTCATCTTTAAATTAGGGCTGGGCGATCTGGGAAAAGTTTATCACCATATGTTTTTTTCATTTCAGTCGATATTGATGTATATCACGATATAAAAAAATAACTTGTCGATCTTAAATGTTCCCTTTTGCTCTTAAATCAAATTTAACAGTGCTTATTGGTTGCATGTCTTTTGCAAAACAGTAAGCGACTGCATCTATGAGGTCTTTGTGGCACTTTGACGTTTTGTCATAAGGTGTTGCTCTAGAGACAGCGACTGAATGGTCGGCTGTTTCGGCTGCACAGGCGCCATGGGCTCCTTGCTCTGCTTAGGGTTTGTTGTGTGCTCTGCTGTGGCAAAATGCCTACCTAAAAGCATATTGACCATGTTTCATATTGATATCGAGGGAAATTCATTTTTGATGTATATTGTGATCGTTTTATCGCCCAGCCCTACTTTAAACCTAATTTTAAATCTACTTTTAATTAGACTGTGTGGGCGATGGAGCTATTATTAATCCTAATTAAGAAGGAGTGTGTTATTTTTCCAGAAAGACTTGACTGTGTTTTTGTTTTAATGATCTTTTCTGATCATAGATATGAAAGGGCAGAACACGACCTAAACTGTCTAAAATGTTTACTTGTCCAAAATAAAATGGGATGTCAGCTGGAATTGTTCATGAGGCATCAATCCACGCTATTATCAACATATTAACTTGTGTAATTTCACAGTTAGTGTCAATAAGATGAGCTAGTTTCAGTAATATGTTCTTTTTCTTCAACCTTCATGGATCCAAACACGACTTTTAAAGCACATTCTGAGTTTGAATGATGCTCTACTTGCAAGTACCAAACTGACCACCAGAGGGAAACAGCAGCAGTCCAATTTGTGCACCTTAACACGTGATGTGATGATATACAGTCGCTTTCAAAGGGAAGTAGGCCAAACCTTCAGGGTGGATTTCATGTCAGAAACTGGAGTAAGAGGAAAACTGTAAACATACCTTCACTTGGAGGCATTTAAGGAAAAAAAGAAGCAGTAATGGAGCAGAAACCATGCCGACACTCTGGTTGAACTTTAACTTCAGTGTAATCATAACAGACTGTAAATAGTTGGCAGTGCGGCAGGGTTTCTGTTGACAGTCTTTCACACACGCAGCAGTGGGCGTTGGCAGAGGTTGTTGTGAAACTGTAGTGAGGGCACCAGGACACAGGTTACTGAAGGATTTCACTGCTCTCTGCCAAGTTGTTTATCCTCAAAGGTAACATGGAAGTACACGTGAACACACGTGAACGCCGCAGCCTGATCAGGAGTTTCAAACCTGTTTCTGCCGAAGGCGCCGCCACAAACCTTAAAGATCAAGTGTGGACATGTTCAAAAACATTTACTGTGAAGGGTTTTTCAAACTGGATCTCATGTTTTTCAAAAGGTGCGGTGTGCAGAATATGGAGGTCACTATCAGAGCGTCCTGGGATTCACTTCACAATGCAGTAATTTGTAGAAAAGGAGCCTCATGTTGTCATTTTTTGTCTCTACTTTAGCCAACTCAAGTGTGTCACATCCATCAAATGACATGGATGGATTAGATTAGTGCTGGACGATAATTCGATAACAATATATATCGATCGATAGACGTGTGGTGCGATAGAAAAAAAACGGGTCGATAAAAAGTTCGATAGAAAAACACAGTTTCCCTTTCTTTTTCATCATAGCCTATCATGTAGCTTTTGCTACAGTCATTACTTCCTCCCAACCAATCACAAACGCAGACCCAGGTACGCTACGGCACCAAGCCCAGCCCCTATCAAACCACGACAGACAGCACGTGTATTAGAAAAAATGATACAGCAAGGAGAAGCGGAGGACATTGTCAGTAGTTCACCAGCATGGCAATGTTTTGGTTTTTAGAAGTCTGACAAAAAGCGAACAGCGGTCGTTTGCTAAATTTGCAGAGAATTAGTAAAAACCAAGTCTGGTAACACAACCAACTTGTTTTACCATCTAAACCGGTCGCACCCGCAGGAGTACGAGCTGTGTCGGCCGCGCCGCGGCTCCACGTCGTCGGAGGAATCCTCTGGAACCGCTGCCAGCACCAGCACAAAGCAAGTGAAGCAGACCAAACTGGACTTCGTTTCTTGTCAAAATACGACAAAGCGTCCGAGCGGCATAAGGACATCACCCATGCAGTAACATGCTGCATAGCGAGGGACATACTGCCAATAGCTACCGTTGAAAAGCCTGGCTTCGACCAGCTTCTAGCCACTCTCGACCCGCGATATGAAGTGCCCGGCCGCAAGTATTTCTCAAACACAGCGCTTCAGTCATGAAAATGGGTCAGCGGTTGAAAAGGTGAGAAGAATGCACCCCTGCATCCCGTCCACTCATTAGCTTCTTAAAGTGGAAGAAAATGAGCTCATATTTTACAAAGACGCGAGTATTTGGATCATGGCTACTAGCAGGGGGTGCATTCGGCAGGGGTGCATTCTACGACACAACACCGGCGTGGATAAGTCCTGCTTCTCGTGCTCAGTTTGCGTATCAAGTCAATCACATGATAATTAAAAAAAATAAATCTCCCGACCCCGGGGGAAATATTTCAGTGTTCAGACACCAGGCTGTGGGCAGTTTCTCACACAGTTAAAACTGGTAGTATGTTATTCCCACCTAAAGCTATTCTGTTTATTTATATATTTGTTTATTTTCATCAAAAGACTATTTAAATATTTATTTATCAGATTTTCTGGTCACTTTAGTCTTTATGTTTGTCAGTATTTACTGAGGTCACTCAGGCCCCTTAAGTTGATTTCTTTTTTTTTTTAGTTCTTTTTTAAAAAACTTTCAGTTGTGGTAAAATAAAAAAGGTGGTTGAATAAAGGTTTGAATTTGAATTCAGTGCTTCTGTGTTCTTTATTAAAAGTAGGTCATTAAGCAATAGCATAAAACATCCAGGGCTGCAATTAAAATATATGTTAAATAATTATAATAATTATATCGATAATTATCGATATCGATCAATATGATTTATTTTTTATCGATATGCTTTTTTTCTATATCGTCCAGGCCTAGATTAGATAACACTATCTTTTCACAATCTCATTGTACTTATCTCTAATATCGCTAATCCACCTTTTACACATCTCCTGGTAACAGGGAGTATTCTCCTGAGTGCAATGACATCTGGTTTGAGATCATTATATGACACAACACATCCCTGAATGATCTAACCTGACTCTCCCTCCATCTGTTCCATTTTAACTGGACACAATGCACATCCTCTGTACATACTATAAAAGAAGAGTAGGTCTGTATTGTGAGGGGTAGTTTTGAGAGATTGAGAGAAACCAAACTATACCTGACTTACGGTTAACTAATAACCAAATGTCTTACCCTGCTCATTGTTGAGGAATCTCTCATTGTTCTGTACGATTCCCCTGTTGATTAGATTTCCATTTTACCCTTACGGCTCCAGACATGCTGCTTCTATGAGGCCTATTCTTGGAGCAGATTTTGTAGGAATTTTTCAGACAGCTCTGCTCTTTTCTCTCCCATTTAGCTCTCAAGGGGGTGTCTAACTTGGTGTTACTGTGTTACGGTGTGTTTGACCCTAAATCAAATTTATGCCGGAATATCCCTTTAACAGGCTATGAGTATTGGGAACATTTCACTATTACACTTGCCATGGTACTTATCAATATCACTTCCAAATATCACCTTCATAAAAAACTTGAACAAGCTGTTATGGGTCTTAAACAGAAGCTCCAAGGCTCTGCTGTATGGAAAGTCGGCCACAGGTGGCCTATTGTTGCAGGGTAACATGCACGCTGACATCCAGGACATGTTGTTCATGTTGTTCATGTGAGTGTACCGGAGCAGCTGTATCAGTCACCATGGACAGGTTATCAGCTTTTGTTTGGATGAGATAAGCTCAAGTGTGCACTTGGATTCTTTCCACTCCTGAGTGTAGCTGTGGAGGCCTGGCCGTAAACAGCCTGCTTTCCCGGCTGTATTTAGACAGGCTGCTGCTGTCGGCCCGTTGGCCCGGACAAACATGAGGCTGCAGACTGTAAACTGAGCCCGGTCTGACGGCTGACACCTGCCGGGTCTTTCTTTCATGAACAGGAACCAGGAGGCCTTCCTCTGAAAAACGTGCTCACTTAAATATAGCACAAGCACGGGTACTGAAAACAACTTATATTTAGATTTAGAGAGAAATGTGGCGGCCAAAATAAAACAGAAATTGTATTTTAGTTGACAAATAGACACGGAAATGTCCTCATAATTGAATCTAAAACATTAACCAAAGGAAACGTTTACTTTTAAGGCTTCAATGAACTTTAAATATAAAAACGAACTAACAAAAAAATACTTTGTTTTGGTTTTACCTTGTCATCCATGAACCGGAAGAGAGACGACGCAATAGCACCAGTTGCTAACAAGCTAACGGCCTCCGCCATCTTAAACATGATTAAGTACTTTTAAAAACGTTTTTAAAACGTTTAAAACATTCAGTGTGGATCCAAAACAACTAACGATCATGTGCCTCTTCGAGTTAACAGCCGATTACAAATTTACGCCTTCTAACGGTTCTAACCGTGATTTACAGTCTTCCAGGATTAGCGTTCCTTCAAAATAAAAGCAGGAGGTTTCCTTTATAGCGCAGGTAAGACAATTACCTAAAAACAAGACATAGAACATAATTAATTGGAAATTCTTACTTTCTAATTTTCTTTAACTGTTTTTTAGTTCCATAGATTATAAGCTACTATAAGTAAGTTTACTTAAAAATAAAACCATGATTTTGTAATGCAGGTAAGATGATATCTGAAAGAATCTGAACTAAAAAAAAATAATAATAATACAAATGTGAACATCAATAGAAATGGGTATCTGTGATTTGATTGATTGTGTTGTAATCATGAAGATCAACTTTTGGGATACAAGGTCCTACACTTGCAAAATAAATCCACTTATAACACAAATAACTGCAAACCTACAGAATAAAACTCCTGTTTGTAACTTACTCAGATTCTAAAAATGACATGCATACCTCTTTTGTGTTTTATATAGACCACAGATATGTGCCAGGCGTCTATAATTAGACTCTTACCATCTCAAACACTCACATGCTCCCGATCCCAAGTGACTCCGGGACCGTGACTTGTCCTCATCTTGTCATGGCTGCTGTCTTCTTGGTTTCAGGGCAGATTTAAAGAAGCGTGATCTGCATTGACATTTTCAGGAATGAAAGTGACGTAAAGGGAGCATGGGCGAGGAAGAGGAGGAGGAAGCTTTAACATTTATAAATACTTCTTTGGCCGATTATGGAGCTGCTCTTTTTTTAATTAAGCCAAAGGGTCTGGTGAACAGAGGGCTGCAGAATATGATCTCATCAAGTTCTTATCATCACAGGTTAAAACTTCTCCAATAAGATGCCAAGTAAAACATAGATGTATTTATTGAGTCTCTGATAACAGAAAAAGATGTATGTGAGAGTCTAAAAATAATCACTATTTGTACAGCATTTACTTTAGTCAGTAGTAAGTCAAATTAGGGTGACCATATTCTGGATCCCCAAAAAGAGGACACTACGACACGGGGCGGAGTCGCACGCAAACCCCGGACATTTGAAGGATTTTATAAACTCCCCAGGACAAGGCCGGACAGCCCCACAAAACGAGGACATGTCAGAGTAAAAGAGGACGTATGGTCACCCTAACGTACCTGCCATGTCGTGCATAAGCAGCGACTGACGATTGGCGGAAAGCATCGATTACACGAGACTTATATTTGATGCCGTGACCCGTTGATGAATGTTTCAGCATGTTGTCCACACCTTTGCGTGTTTTCACTGCTTGACAAAAGTTGCACATCGCGCCGTTGTCGACGATCACTTAAGATCGTTTCTGCCTACTTTTCGTACCGTCCGCCATGTTTTTTTCCATTAAGTCTCTGTTCTTGTTCGTGTGAACTGGCTCTTGCAAGACCGTTTTTCAAGAAGAAAGGAATCGTTAAGATAAAATGTAAATGATGTTGATGGATTGAACCATTTGGAACCGGTTCTCGATTCCCATCCTTAAATACCTTTAAACAAACACAGGAGAGGCATTTGTACTGAATTTGTTCCTTTTATTTTGTCTTTATTGTATTTACAGTATGTACAATCATTTCAGTCACTATAAAGCTATAAAAATAAGCTCTCACACTCTGTATGATGAAGATAAATTTAATACAAAAGAAAATTGTGTTGAACACACATGGACCCGGGGCTTTTTCCTCCTCCTATGGCACAGTGTAATAACAATAAAAAAGCTGAGACTGGCCTTCGCCTCACTGGATCACAGACCGTTAGAGAACTGAAACATGACATGCACTGCCCTCTGGGGTTTAATAACACTGGCTTCCACCGAACTCAGCTAAAAGCGTTAAACCTCGGCACAAGCGTAGAAAATGCTCTGTTGGTACATCAGAGAGAACTCGGGTCCTATACATTGTTCTTTCTATAATGCAACACTCTTCGTCTTTGTATTTAATGCAAATTAATGCAAAGAAAAGAGCAGAATACATTCAGCCTGGTCCAGGAATCTGATGCTAAGATAACACTGTATCTTATCAGTCGCTGCCAACACTGGGATTACATTTTTTTAAAGGCTGAAACATCAAAAATTGCCGACACATATCCATGCAGAAAGCACAAAAACACTCAGCCACACATTTGTTCCAATCTACACACCTCTCAGTTTTACAGTACTTCAGTTTTCACAAGGTGCAACACGAGGATTGATTTAGTAGTTCAAGTATTTTTTATGAAATGAGCCTTTGGGTGAAGTTGCTACTGTAAGGCTTGGGTGACATTTCCTACAGATAATAAAATCTGGTCCTCTTTTAATAACAGGCTCCCTCCTGTTACACTGAAAACCTCCATATGGCACTCCTCAAACACCCGTTCTTTGGATCTTTCCTATAATTTGAACATTTTAACACCTCTTTTTTGTGCTTAGACCAAAAGAAAAACATAATTTCTCCTTATGTTAATCTGAGTGAAATGTGTTTTTCCAGACCAAAGGATTCATTAAAAGTGCGCACACACCTCCTGTAAGTGTCTCCAGATTAATTTAGCCGTCACTTGCAGCTTTTTGAGGCTGACGGCTGCAGATGTGGTGACCTCTTGAACTTGGACAGAGTCTGCACAGCTCCATATCAGGACATCAAGTATCAGCGTCCTGTTTCAACCGCAGGGCGCCTGTCCGTCACGCTCTGATGAACGGGAGCTGCTCTGTGCCGTCTAAACAGCATTTTCATTCACTGCAGTTGTTTGAACTCAAAATAAATCAGATTTTATTGAGATTTAGTTGCGGAAAAGGACGCCGAAATCACACCATCAGGATGCAGACTAGAACAAAACTAACAATTAGATCTTTGTCGGGTTTGTCCTCAACAAGACAAGAAAAAACTTTTAAACGCTCCTTTTTTTAATGAGGTTTGGGCAGACTATTTGTGATGCACTTTTAGTTCCTGCTAATAAATACTTTTGCAAATCTGAGTTTGTGCATCACACAAACATCCAGCCTCTCTTTTGGTCTGAACACCTTTGCTTTGCATCTGTCCGCTCATACTCCCTCTTTTTTTTTAACCACATCACAAATCATGCTCGATGTCTCCTCTCTCTACTTGCACACATCTTCAGTCTGCATGTCCTCGCACACAAACTCCCCGCTGCTGCTGCAACTTCTGAGATGTCCCCCCGGGTGTTTTAACAAGTATTCTCTGTTAGTAGCTGCTTCCTATTTTCTTATGATGAACCCAAAAGTACGACGAGGGATGAAAATAACATGCTACCGCTAAATCCAGACTGAAATGTCAAGGACAGGGTGTCTTTTTTTTTTTTGTCTGGAGGTGATCTTCTCAGGAGAAAACTGTCTGTAGCTCACACTTGCCTCAGCTGGAGTCACATAATCCAAAGGCGTCACTGAACGTACGTCGTCGGCCTGTTTGACTCTCACTTGGCCACCTTGTAGTTGCTCAGATCCAGAGGCTCTTTGCTGGGTATGCACCAGTCGTCGGCCTCCTGGCTCACTTTGTAGTTCTTCAGAGCGGTTTTGTTGTACACTGGCAGCCTCTCGATGGAGTCTGTGGACAGCGCCTTTAAGGACAAGAAGCAATCATGAAAATCCTCACACCTAAATTTGTGTTTAAAACCTCAGCCCTTCCAGGTAAAATCGAGTGTTAGCTCTCGTTGCATTTGACTCTGATCACTCCGTCTGACTCACCTTCAAATAGATGACGGCGTCTGTGCCGTGGCCTTCCATGGAGTAGAGCTGCAGGTCCCCCTGGAAGTACTTGGCGTAGAGTCGGGAGATGGGCAGCCCGTAGCCGAAGCCAGCCTGCAGAGACACGCAGAGGATCGAGGGTTTAAAAGGCTTTGTACTCAAACAGAGCTCATCCTCGGAACAAATGAGGCTTTTGTCATGTTGCATTTCTTCTATTTGGTGTTTTGCTCATTACATTTGAGGAAATATTAACCTCAATCTTCATATAGAGAAACAGAAAGCATCAAAATGAGCAGTGTAGCGTCTGTACAAACCAAATGACATGCGCCTCTGCAGCTGCTGAGTAGGAGTGAAATCAGGATAATCATTTACATCTTGGCACCTCGAAAACAGTCCCTGTACATACCAGCGGAGGCCGTGAGTGCTCTCCGATCTGAGGAGCCGGAGCGGTGGAGTACATGTAGCTGAAAAGGTTCTCGATCCTCCGAAAGGGGACACCGCCTCCTTTGTCGCTCACCTGCAGACGACAGCAGAAACAGAAAGAGAGTCATGAGAGGTCCTTGAAATGTGCTGAGCGGACGAGGGCCCGCCTGTCATCCACACCCGGCCTTGACTGGAAAAAAGCAGCTGAGGGGCCCCGTGTTTACTGGACTTATCGTGATGATAAACCTGCTCATGTAAAAACTGAAACTTGACAAGAGCAGAAAAAGAAGAAGCTGATTCTGGGCTGCAATAAAAAGGTCGATAACCTGGATTATCCTCTAAATCACAGCCTGGATTTCCTCCTCAGCATCCTCTCTGTACTTATTCCATCATGTTATTCTTTAATTACATCCCTTAAAGTGGTCTCTTTAGCTCCAGAGGTCTTGTTACTTTGGAGTGAGTCATGAGTTTTAGTCTTTAAACTTAACATCTTTGCACAAACGCAGCTTAATTACACCTCCAGCCGACCTCAACAGACATTAATCCTCATTTAAAGACCTGTTTGTGTCCGTTTCATGAATCTGAATCCAATAGTCACTTTGTTTTATCTCAACTAACTCTGCTAACTTTTCATCATATTGATTCTTTTTGCTGAAATACCTTCTTTCTGAGTTTTTCTGAAACAAACAGCTAAACTATGAGTAGACAGACCAAACAGGAGCTACAACAGCTACAGTTTCTGCTAGAAGAAGTTACAACAGCTATCCCATCATGCATTGTAAAGGGGAAGCACTGGGCCTGACGACTGCCAGATAACATTTTTTTAGTCCACCTTTTTCACTCGTTATATGATGATCCTGCATTTAGAGGAAACGTACTGTAGTGTCACTTCATTTCATTGCCTAACTCGCTATAATCCTTCTGATTTCAACACTGTAATACTTTTAAGTTATGTAACTCTGATGGGACTTGTTGCATAGTTTGGGTGTGACCCCAGCTGCTTCGACTGGAGGAGGAGGACTGCAGACATTTGAAGACAGCTAAAAGAGGGTTTAATTTGATGCACAATGCGGTTGTTCTTGAATGTGGAGGTTTCAAACTGTATTTTACATCCTTTTCATTTTTCGCTTTGGTGAAATGAAGTAAAACTTCAGATTTCTTTGCAAAAATAACCCTCCAGTTTTGAATTAAACCAATAAGCAAATTCCAAAAACTGCAGTTCCAAAAGTGTCCACTTGGGGCTGACTGCAAAAGCGCAGAGAACCACATACACACTCATTCAAAAAAGTTCACGATCAGCGCAAAAACAGACGTGTTCAACAAATCGTTTCAGACTGAAAAGTTCATTCAGGAGGTGAATTTTTGTTTTGAAGATATTAAAGTTTTGCAGCGTTAGAGAGGACAGCTGACTAGACTCATCACCTCCTCTTTGCCTCCGGTCAGGTAGAGGAAGAGTGAGACCTTTTACAACATGGCGGCTACAGCTGATAGACTTCAAACTCAGCATCAGACGCCTCGGAGATGACATGTCCATATGGCGCTGAAGATGCTGAACTGTGTTGGTTTTGTTTTAAAAATAGACGCTGCCATCGTAGAAAAAAGGTCATCAGAGAACACAGTTCAGTTTTACTCCAGAACTTAACGAGATAACCTGTGAATATTCATGACTTATGATAAAACCTGAGGGAACAGAGCAGAACTGATGAACTCAGACATGATGGACTTTCTGGGTTTTTTAAATCCTCATTTTAGTTTCAGACTACACACATAAATCTAATCCTTTCTGGATATAAACGCTGATCAGTGGAAGTTTACGTTCAACAAAAGTTTATCAGTAGAGTGTGGTTGTAAAACATGAGCTCTGGGACCAGGTTTATGAGGGAACAAAGTCTTTGTTTTTAATCTTATCAGAGTCAAGTCGCTCCGCCTGCTAATAAGCTCTCCAGTTAATGAAGGGGGAAGGTGTTTCTTAAAGAGTTGAGCCGATCTGAGCGGAAACAACAATAAAAGACTGTGTAACTATTAGCTTTAAAAGCCACGACTAACCGCCGTCTGGGTGAGGCCGTATCATTACCTTATGTAACATTAAGCTAATCTGAATCTGCAGTGAGGAGGTTTAATCCAGCGCGATAACTTCATCATCACAGGCTCCATTAAACTTGTCGAACTGGTCCGCAGAGAGCTAACAGACGTAAGAACACAACCCCACTTCCACTCACTCCTACAGGCTGTTCAGCTCTATTGTCCTCCTCATAGTGGGAGGGTTTGTGTTACCTTCACAAACACAAACTCACAAACCAAACAAAGGCCTGAGGGAACAAAAAAAAACCTACGAGGAAGAGTAAAAGATGTTTCCGCTCACCCTGATTGACAAGTCCTCGCCTCCCAGAGACACCAGGACCTGAACTGGAGGAAGGTTGTTGCTGTCGTCGTGGGTTTCTATCGTTGCTCTCATCGCGTTCTGACAGAAGGAAAGCATCGAGCAGTTAAAAAAACTTATTGATCACTTTAATTAGAATAGGATTGAAAAAAACAGGAAGTTTCGTACCTTAAAGAGCTCGAACAGCATGTGGTAAAGGTGAGAGGGCACATACACGATGCTGACTGGGAGGTTCTTCTTATTACCTGCAAAGACAGAAGTAAAAATAGTGTCAAAATAGTGTCAGCCGCTTCATTTCAGACAGATTTTCTTCAACACTCATGGATCAGACCAGGTCAGGAATAAGAAACGCACTAGATTGGATATTATCTGATATTTTCAATCTCACTCTTATTGAGACAGTTTTTAGAAACAGGCTTTAAACACTCTGAGATCCTTTTTTTCCTGCAGGTGGATCATACTCAGCAGAAATGTTCATACCTGTCGGCAGTGATAATTATCCGCCAATATTGACACACAAACAACACAACTCTGCTCCTGTTTACCTCCTGTCCTTTCACTTTGTTCAAGGGATATTCCAGCGTAAAATTAAACACTAAACACAACTCACCTACTCTCTCGTAGGTGAGCGGGGTTTCGCAGCTTAAGGAGGAACATTTATGATCATTTCTTAATGGAAATGCAACCAGACCGAGACACTAAGGCAGAAGAACTACCACTGATCCTAAATGTTCTTCCTTGAGCTGAGAAACCCCGCAGCAGTCCGTAATGGACTGGCCTGAGGACTGTAGCTGGGACCCTATATGTCCTGTTGATGAAGTTAGGTGCTGTTCTGAGCATTATTTGTGGCTATAGAGTGGCGTTTTGGTTGAGGTTTGTTTATGGCTCCTCAGACCGCTGTGTATTGCTATCCTGCGGTCGTTACTAAAGTCGGTATAACTAGAGAAGCAAGCGGTCGGCGACATTCATCTTTCAAGGAGGTGTCTAACTCAGTGTTACACTGTGTTTGACCCTGAATTAGTTTTAGCGGAACATCCCTTTAACTCTGTCATGGACGAGGAATCGAGGAAGTGTGTCTCTAATCTCCTTCCTGCTCATAAAGTCGATGTTTTCCATCGTTATCTAACAGCCTCCTCTCTTCTGGTTTATTGTCTGACAGTTCGGAGTAGAAAAAAAAAAAAGTCAGTGTGTCAATATTGTCTGACGCAACCAGCCGAGCTCATTGAGGCACTTCTTCTTCTGCTTCAGAGCTATAATTAGAGAGCTCTCAGGTCCACCTGGCTGAACACTGGACTGTATGTACACACTCTGTGCTCCCTGACTCTGTTTGGTTTCTCATCATTATTTAATTCTCTTGTTTAAACTTCAGTTGAACTTCAGGAGTTTCCAGTAAAATGTCTCTGGAAGATGAAATCAAAGTCGGCTTACTGCTCATCTCCTGGAGGAGGAGGTCGGGGGAGCGGAGGTAGTACTGGTCACACACCATCTTGGCACTGTGGTAGGCATCTATATGAAGGTGATCATAATACATGGTTATGACATGATTGTAGGACAAATCCAACTTAAAAACACTTATTAATTGACAATGATACACAGTTTTATGTTGATTTAATCCAAATTAGATGTAGAAGTTTGTACCTTGGACTACATCTGCGACTTGACAGTGCGGGTCGATGCTCCCGATGGTGTTTGGGTGAACCGGGTTTGTGGTTCCATCAAAAATAAGAGCTGCAGAAAACAGATAGAGTCCAGTTTAAAGGATTAAAAGAGTCTCAAATTAAGACCCAGAAGTTTTTGATCTGAAATACATCTCTCAGTTTTTTCATATCTACTGTCTTTGTACGTCTGACGATCACAATACGACAAGAGAAACGGATATTGAAATTCAGGAGTTTAATTTAATTTGTTACATCTTCAACAAAAGGAGGGTGGAGCAACAAACAGACTCCTTATTTTACATCCCATTAGCTTCAGTCTGCATCCGATTTTATGTCTCGATGACTCGGTAACAACTGCTGCATAATGATACAGGAGTTTTATGATGTGGAGCCTGTCATGACTCCTGCTGCTCCCCAGGCGAACAAAACATCCCACATGAAATCATTTGTCACTGATGTGACAATAAAGTTCGTGAGGCGACATGTTTTGACTTATTGTTCCCTCTGGGTGTCGAGCGGGTGACGCAGAGAGCGAGGCGAGATCAGTAAAACAGAAACACCGCCGCAGACGACACACAGCGAGAGAGAGAGAGAGAGAGAGAGAGAGAGAGAGAGAGAGAGAGAGAGAGCGTAGACAAACTTCAGTCTGACTCTGAGGGGGACTCACTGTGCTGGTTGATGAGCATTCGGATGGAGATCCGGCTCATGTAGAAGCGGTCCAGAAAGTACTGGATGTTCTGGTTCGTGACTGGATCCTGGGGGAAAGCCTCTTTGTACTCGATGATTCCCTGGGCCATGGTCGGGACGACGTCGTTGTGCCTGTTTCTGATGGTGACCAAGGCGTCAACAAACCTGCAGAGGATGGAAACACAGAAAACCAGGCTGTTAATAAAACAACAGGAAATGTCAGTATTGCAGCTTTCCTAGAACCTTTAAAAAAGTTGCTTGAGGCATAGAATAGATCCTGTATATTTGTGTGATACGCCGCTGCTGTTTCAAAGAAGCACCCACAGTTCATGGAGGTTTTTGGAGCTTGGAAACGCTCGTACAGTCACCAACGATTTACACATACTCTTTGCGACTTGTATCATTGCAAAAAAAAAGAACATAAAGCGCGGTCAACAAAAATTACGAGACATCAGCGTTGTCAAACTAAACTTATGTTCTTTATAGGGATAGGAATTGGTAAGATTTTATTAATTCTTATTCTTAAAAATAATCAAATGACAAATTATTTGTACAGCAATTACTTGGGTCGGTATGAAGTTAAATTAGTGGGACTATATTCTGGATCCCCAAAAAGAGAACACTACTACGTGAGGCGGAGTTTTGGGTGGGGTTGAGTGTTTTTTATGCGCTTTTAACTCAGTTAGACCACGGTGCACAAACTTAAAACTTCCACACAAAACCCGTTGTCGTCTTCCTTGGTAAAGTGAAGCCATACTTTTTGTTTCTGCCTAATTTTCGTACCATTCGGCATGTTTTTTCCCCCCAGAGTCTCTGTTTTCTTTCCCTCAGACTGGCTCTTACAAGACTGTTTTTCAAGGAAGAAAGGAATCGTTAAGATAAAGTGTTCTCTGTTCTCGATTCCCATCCCTAGTTCTTCAAGTCTTTAATTGGGCGAAAACAGCTTCAATGGGAATATCGGGTGTGAGATTGAGTTGGTATCTACTTTTGAATAATCAGGACTTTTAAACAGATGACAGTTGTCTTTTAAAGCTCCCCTGATGGTCTTGTTTGCCTTTTCACAAAATGGCATCAATATGAATATCAGTCTTTTTCACTGACATTAAAAACTCCCTTAAAAAAGAGCGTCTTAAATGAAAAACTGTGTGTTAAAAGGATCTTGTGAAGGATGCTATCGAGGAAAAACGGGAACTCACTCTCCCAGCACTCTGTGATCATCTGGATTCTTGTCCAGGAATTCCAGGATCTCCATTAAACTCTGAATGTACCTGCAATAAAAACAAACAATCAGACGTGTTTAAACAGAACACAATGTTGTGTGACGCAGGAGAAGGAATTCAGCTGGCATTCAGGTGAGAGTTTGTGTCTAAAAAAAGCTTCATCTTAATCCTCGTACGAGTAATTTAGGCCGTTCCTCAACAAAAGGGAAGACGTGCAGCCCCTCCAGTAAACAGGGTCATGTGACTCGAGTGGAGAAACTAGGGTAAAGTTCAGCGCTGAGAGCCTCAGCCCGCTCTGAGCCAGCTGGAAGGAGAACAACTTGGTCAAAGGGTGCTTATGCAGTTAGAGGCTGACGCTATCACAGAGAAACTCAAACTGTACTACAAATTGGAAGTAAACAAGCCGACAGCTGTGACGGTCAACTTCTATGAGCTCATGGGAGGACGTCTGCCATCAAATTTGGCTTTTATGAGCTAGCACAGAGGCTAACAGAGAGAGGGAAAGTTTCTCTCTCTTTGTTTTCTTGAATCAGAAGTGCAGGTCATATCTGAGGAATTACATAACTTGGATCAAATCCTGGTCTGACTTACCAGCTCTGCACCATTTGCACAGACGAGGTTGTGAGGAGTTTGTTAGGCAACAAGTTAATTTCCTTCATGATGTTTGACAGTCGGACAGGCAGCTCCTGCCGCAAAAACACAAAGGAGGTCTTCTCACAGGCATTTATGGAACCTGGATCAGGAACAAGAGTTGAAATTAGACCTGAAAATGTTTGATCTACTTTACCGAAACACATTTCAAGCAGTAAAACAAAAAAAATCTCAGTTTTTCTGTTTCAAAGTGTGCATAGAAATATGACAAGCCACCCTGCATGACAATTTATCCAACTAAAACAGTCTCTGGTAATATATATATAATATATATAAATTATATTATGATGAATACAATAATAGAGTCATGTTATGCCATATTGAGAAATCTAATGCATTTATTTTTTATATATTGCTTAAAAATCCATCCAAAACTGAGAAAGAGCATGTTTCTTACATTTAAATGGGTCTAAAATAATGATAATGTTCATGTTTAATGGATTGCTTTGTAAAACACCTCAATATTAACCCTGTATTTTCATTTATTGTCATAATTAAAGATGTCTGGACAGAAATCTAGACGCTGATTTAACACTAGAGAAGCCAAAATTAATAAAATATCAATTCAAGTTCTTATTTTATCTTTTGAACCTGAGCAAAAATAACAATAACAAGACACCAGGATTAGATTTTGTCCTTCTCTCACGTGTTTACTTGTTATTATACTAACCTTTAAAAGCCTGTTATTGATCATCTAATAACTGCTGATACTTCTGATTGATTATGTGAATCTTACTTACTTTACTCTACTTTTACAACTCTATGGGCTCTTTTTTTTTTACTGACTGGTTGAAAATATAAACTTATCTTTAATTTTTGAAAACATGAGTCAAACAATAGGACTAAATAATCAAACAGAGTGAAAATTCCATTATAGACCATCATAATAAAGCATTTTAACACTAAGAAATGAGTGCCATCTACATTTTAACCTCCTAGAAATCTCATTTTTGTTGTTTTTAGCAAACATTTACAGATAAAATGTTGACTTGCTCTCCAGTAACTGCACAAAACATGATAATAAATCCGTCAGCAGGCCTGTAAGATGAAATATCCAGAAATATTAGCTGTAAGTGTCTCCACAGGGCCCCTACAGTACAGCCCTGTCCTGCTATAACAGATCTGATGCAATCCTCTGCACTATGAGCACCACCATGCTACAGCAGCTAAACCTCCACACTGCAGATAAACGGGATTACATGGTCATTTTAGGGATATGCAATCAAATAAACACGCTATATGTCTGTGAAGATGTAGAAAACTTGAGTAATCTCCCTCTGAAATGACATGTCTGAAATGGAGCAGCAGGAATACTCACCGAAATCCAGAAACTGCTTCATGGAGAGCGGCGAAGGAGAAAATTTGGAGAAATGTTCGATATGTTTGGGCACACTGGCCAAGGCGGCGTTTTTCATGATAAACCGAACGAACTTCATTATTATTGCTGCTGAGGTTCACTGTCAGTGAACACGACCTCCGAAGATAGGTTACCCCTCCAACTGACCGAGAGTGTTATCATGAAACACAGGGACACGACCGCGGACAAGGAGAGCGAACCAGCCAATCAGAGGGCGGGATTCTTATTTACGTTTCAGACGGACCAATAGGAGCCGCCGGTGGGAGGGTTTAGTGAAATTGGGCGCTACCGGTCAAGAATCAACAACCTGGATTATGTAATGGAGTCGACCGATTATTCATTCATACAACGACATGCAGAAATCATAGCTACATATAAGAAAGGTGTTTATAAGTATATATGTATGGTAGAAACAACCATAGACATAATAAAGATAAATGAATATAATAAAAAATAAATAAATCTTTGTTTTGTCTGTGGAAACAACAAGCTCAGTAAACTTGTGTGTGTTCTATGGAGGTCTTCATCATGGCGTCCTTAAATGTAGAGGAAAAATACATGAACTCAACCTCTTTTATAAACATTTACTGTTTATCATCTGTGTTTTACTACTAATTTCACAACTTTGTTGCATGTCAAAGAAAAATATTCTTCGTTGTACTTTTCTCCAACTGTTAGCTACAGTACTTGTGCTAATGTTGGACACCCGGAGATGGGTTTCTACGACCCATTCTTTCCAACCTCTCCCAGTCATTGTTTATCCCCTTCTCCAGTAAGATAAATATCTGCTCCTCACACGAGCAATTTTAGAACTGAAGAAGCTTCTTGGATAAGAGGCGAAACATCTTCTCAACTCTACCCAGTCCAGTTGCCTGATTTTGGAGTCTTCAAGCTATCCTTCGGTTGTTACTAAAGTTGGTGTAACTAGATAAGCAATCAGTCGGCAACATTCATCTCTGGAGGGGGTGTCTAACTCGGTGTTACGGTGTGTTTGACCCTAAATTAATTTTACGCAGAAATATCCCTTTAAACCGATGAAAATAAACTGAATTAGTTTAATGAGCTTGGCACTGACTTCTTACTGAATAAGCTCTACTGTTGATTAAATACCACAGAACAGGATTGATGATAAAACAATCATTTTACAATTAAAGTTGTACAACTACTCGATGTCCTAATTTATTTTGTTCATAATTTATTTTTTCAAAAAGCTCCTGTGTGAGTTTTTAACAGTGATGCATCTTAACGAGCAACAAAAATGAACACGAACATCGAGAAAATGTTTTATAATTCTCTTTAAGCCAATGTTAATGTCTGTAACTGCTGCGAGGAGGTAGGCATCAAACAGTGTAATTTACAGCAGTAACTAGAAACTGTTTTTATACTTCTTTCTACATAAATGTACGCAATGAGTGACACATTAGGGTGTCAAAACTTGAGACAAGACTCTGCTACTAGACAAAAGTTAGGCAAGAATAAGCAAGAAATAAGACTAACTAATTCTTGCAACTAAGCAAGAATATTTTCTTTTTGCCTGACTTGGGAAAAAAATGAACATCACATGCAGATCCTCTCAAACACAGAACTTCCTCTTTATATGATCCTCATCGGTGACCTCTGTGCACCACAGTGATTCATTTTTCCAGCTAGAAATACTTTCCTCCCTGTTTGCATCTAATATATAAAGATAAGAGCAGGATAATTTGAGTGTTTCAGTGTGATTTCAATATGTAAAGCTAATCAGATGTGAAATACAGTTGGGTTTCAGTTTTGGGATTAATCAGCCTCAGTTCTTCATCAAAACTGTGTAGTTCTCTGCAGGGTCTCATGAAATCCTCCAAATGTAACCAGCCAATGAAAACAACATAAAATGAGTCAGAATTAATGAACATATTGAGGGGTAAATCTGCTTAATCTGCATCGATGTTTCAGGTTATTTTATGGATTTTAAGGGACAGGCAGAAAGAAGTCCTCACTTCTTATCTGTTGGTCATCGATTGTTTGGATTTTGTGGTTCGAAGTGAACGATTATAACCATAAAAATGTATTTATTTTACTTTGAATTAGAGGTTTCTTGTTGACTTTTGTGCCTCTGTAATAAATAACCAAAATAAAGATGGCCGTTCATTTTGTGTGTCACTGTATTAAGTGCATAAAATTAACACTGTGACTTTGAAATCAGGGTGTAAGCTCTGTGTGTATTTTAACCAGATTTTGGAAGCTGATCTCATTTGGAGGATTAGTGAGGTCCTGCACTGAGGTGAAGTGATAAGGGGCACCGCTACACAGTCTGTGCCCCATGAGAAAATATCTCAAAATTGGCCTAAATACAAGTTTTCTGATATTTCCAGGACTCCAGTCAGCACTGGGTTTGATTGTTGTTTGCATTTCTGTGCAGCTAAATCAAACTCCTCTCTTATCTATGGAGCTCAAATGTGTGTGGATATGTTGAAAGTTGAACAACATACATGAAAGTATGTTTTTACGACTATCGCATATGGCAGCTTTAAGATAATTTTCAATCTGAGCTCCAGTGCAATCAGAAAGACAAAGTCTGGGCCGCTGGGATCTGACACTCTGAGAACTGTTGGTGTTTTTGGCAGCAGAAGTTGAACAGTGTTGTGAAGTTTGGGTTTGTCCTGTTAAAGTAGAGTGAAGGCGAGGCAGTGGAGGTGGAGATACAAGCCCTCCATAAATGTGTCAGGCTGTATGTAACCCTTAAAAAAGAGACGCTGAATAGAAACCCTGGTGATATACTGCTGAACCCATCTGCATCGATCTTCATGCTTGAGTGTTGGGGAACATTAGGGACCATATGGTGGGTTGAAGTTATGTAACGTATTTGTAGAGCATAAATGTTGGAATGGGTGCATAATGGGGTGTTTTTTTTCACTGAGCGTATATCCTCATAAGTACTTTGTGTTTACTTTTAAATAAGTCGATCCCATCATGCTTGGTGCGTCTGAAAATTGTGCACTAACTGCTCTACATTTACACCAGCCAGGTTACGTAAAAGCCCATCAGACAGGCGGGTGTTTCCAGTCAATCGACCAGCTGCTCCGGCCCAGAACAGAGCTGCTCTTAAAGACCTTCAGCAGACTGATCTCAGGTTAATTTCGATCCAATAAAGAGGTGATGGCTTATTAGGAGTCATTAAAGGTAACAGGCTGCTTTTAAAGGAGGTGAGCGGCCGCGCTCCTTGTTTACCTCCGGACAGCTCACCCTCCGTGAATGATTCCCTGGCAGCCCGCCACCCTCTGGTTTTGAATAGAAATGCCTTTGTCAGGGAACACAGCGTGCTCCTCAAATCTCCCATTACATAAGCGCCGGGTGGGTCAAACAGTACAGTTGGGATTGTCCTTATAAAGTCAGCTCAGGACAGCCCATCCATCAAAACAAGAGTTATCACTTTGTCTTCTTTATGTGGAAACAGCAGAAAGTCACAATTCTGAATCAGAAAATGTCACGGCTCACTTCAGCAGATAATAGACTGATCCCTGCGAGACGATATCAAAACCAGCCTGAGTCACATTATTTCTGTTTAAATGTCACTCTCCAGATTCTCAGTCCTTGTTGTACGATGTTTTCTACACCTGGATTCAATTTTCCTCCAGCTCAGGGTATTATTAAATGTGAGACAAAAAATCACAGACTATTTTATTCAAATTATGTAGTTTTTGAGCGACACGTTATTTCTTCCTGTCACTTATAAATGTACAAATACTTCAGTAGAGGGAATAAACAGGCCTTCTGCTGAGAGAGAGAGAGTAACGCTAAAGCTTACTAAAGGTTTCAAATGCAGGAACTAACCCTGTTGAAACGAGAAGCACCCATGAACAACAAAAAAGACAAGAACATCTAAAAATAAGGAGTTTAAGCAGGTAAAGGAGTGATGAGGAATTAGACGGCAGATGAGGTGGCAAAAAGGAGAAGTATTGTGCCAAAACGAGAGATGACAACTGCAACGAAACAAGAGGAAAAAAGACTGAAATGCTGCAATATGCATGCCAGGCCACTAGTTGGCAGTATAACCATAGACTGTATATACTATGGACAACAGGGTTCGGATTTGGAGCCAAAAAGCTCTCAGTATTTCCGGGGTTTTTATCTACTTCCTTAAACCAACATTGTGCAACAGCATTGTACGCATTCGGCGGGAGAGTCGCAGAGAGTCGCTGTGATGACGCTCGGCTTAAACAGCGCATCCCCTGGGTGGGCTTTGCAATCTTCTTACACCCATAAGCTGCATCAGGTGTCAATCATAGAAAACATGAACCCCCTAATAACTTTTAAAAAACGGAGCTGTACAGAAAAAAGAGGACTTGAGCACAAACCAGTCTGACAATAACTACGTCAACATTGCAACCAGGGGGGAGAAAAATGTATATTCTGTGTAATAAATTTCTAAAGTTTGTCCACAGCTCCATAGGGATTGCTGGAGGAGGCGGGATTTATGACCTATACTGCAGCCCGTCACCAGAGGGTGCTGTTCTCGCGGTGGCTTCACCCAGACGACATCTATTATACATACAGTTTACGTGCGACAGGGAAAATGTGTGAGCAGCAGACAGGAACCCTCCAGTCTGGTCTCCCTCTGTAGAAACACACAACGATGAATAAATGTAAAAATATGGAGATGTATTTGTGTTTGACCACAGAGATTGAATTCTGTACAGTAGGAACAGGTTGCTTATTCAGCTTGAGTTATATTTGCAGAGAGGCCCTGTAGTCTGCGGCTGTTTACTTAAGAGAAACTAAAGATTTGTAAAGACTTGCATTTCAAACAATTCAGAGCTGAACCATTAGAAAATACTGAGAACGAGTTTCTTTACCTCCTCCTGTGTTTTATAACACCAGAGGGGGGTTCACTTTGGCTTGTTTCGCCTCAGGCTCTGTTTGAATTTGATCTGGAGGGACATCTCTGAATTTTAAAGCAGGTACTTGTGAAATGTCTCAGAGCTCAGGTGCCTGCTGTGGGGCTCGGATCTGCTGCTTTTTCAGCGGTCTAATGAGCATCAAACAGCGTGGTAAGAAATGTCATGTCCTTTCATTTAGCTCTCTGATGTGCGGGTTTTAGAGCTTTATTTACTTCCACGAAAGAGGTTTTGTTTTCAGTTTCACTCGTCTGTTTCGGGAGCTTATGTAACGAAAGGTTACCTGATTTCGTGACAGAGGAGTACCAGTTTAATTTTGGAGAAGATCCGG